CCAAGGTAGGAGGTGGAACAATGTTTTGTATAGTATGTTATGCCAATTGAGCTTGATGTCCCCTGCGACTATGGTCCCAAGCCCACAGGTTCAACTACTCAGTCTCTCTGGGTAGCTGGCTGTGACCAAGCAGTGACCACAACCTTGCCCCTTGTCAGCTCTACTATACACCTAGGAACTCTGATCATTCACATAAACTTGTAGGACCGTTGTCTGCCAACCCCATATATGTTCTTGGATACACTCCCCATTTCATAGACATACCTAATCGTACAGCCTGTCCACCTATCTATCTACCCATATACCCATGTTTGCCTTCATTGACAATGCAGTACTATATGTGCAAAAAGGTTCATATTTGATGTCTATACCTCCCATGTACCTCTCTATGTCTTTCTCATTCTCAATGCTGTCATATTGGTCACACAGGTTTGGTACATTGCCCTCTTCACTCAAATCAATATTTATCTCTATCTATCTAACGGCGTTCCCTTCCCTCCCCTCCCACCCCTGGTAACCAACAAAGAAAATTTCCTTCTATAGATAAACCTTTCCTTAACTTTTACAATAACAGACTAACACAATATTTGTCCTCATCATTATTCTTTAATGTTGCATAGTATTCCATTAGGGAGCTCTGGTAGCGTAGTGCCTAAGGCACTTGACTGCTAACCAGAAGTCCGTTGGTTAAAACCTACCAGCCACTCCTCAGAAAGAAGTTGGGCAATCTACTTCTGTAGTGATTCCACCTCGGAAGCCCAAGGAGGGGTCGCTATGAGTCAGGTCTGACTCAAAGGCACATAACAACAACAACAACAACAGTATTTCATTGTGTGTGTGTACCAGTTTGTTTACCCATTCATCCACTGATGGTCACTTAGGTTGTTTCCATCTTTTTGCTATTGTGAATAATCCTGCTATGAACATGGATGTGCATATATATGTTTTGTCATGATTCTTATTTCTTTAGGGTATATACCGAGTAATGTGATTACTGGATCATATAGTATTTCTATTTCAAACTTTTCAGGGAAGCACGAGACCATTTTCCACAGTGGCTGCACCATTTTATACTCCCAGCTATATATGAGGGTTCCAGTCTCTCCATATCCTCATCAGCATTTGTAGTTTTCTGCTTTTTTATTTTTTTTTTAATTTTGCTGTTAATGCTGGGGTGACATGATATCTAATTGTTGTTTTGGTTTACATCTTCCCAATGGCTAAAGATCACAACCATTTCTTCATGAGTTTGTTGGCCACCTGGATGTCCTTTGGTGAAGTGTCTATTCATGTCCTCTGCCCATTTTTTAATTAGATTGTCTTTTTGTTGTTGAGGTGCTGAAGTTTTCTATAAATTTTAGACTAGTGTTTTTTCTGATATGTTGTTGCCAATCCACCCCCGCCCCCACCCTCCAGTGTGTAGGTTCTTTTTACTTTTTTGCTGAAGTCTTTGCTCTCCACAGATGTTTAATTTTCAGGATGTCCCAGTTGTCTAGTTTGTCTTCTGCTGTCTGTGTGTTTTCAGTTGTGTTTGATAGTGTATTTATGCCACGTATTAGGCCCCCTAAGCTTGCCCCTATTTTTTCATTGATGATCTTTATGGTTTCAGGTTTTACGTTTAGGGCTTTGCTCCATCTTGGGCTCAGTTTTGTATATGGGAAAGGATGTGGCTCCTGTTTCAGTTTTCTGCAAAAGGACAGCCACTTTTGCCAGCATTATTTGTTAAAGAGGCTATCTTTTCCGCATTTAATGGGGTTCGTCCCTTTGTGAAATTCAGCTGTCTACTCTATTCCATTGGTTGATTTGTCCATCACTGCATCAACACTGGCTATTTTGACTACTGTGGCTATATACAAAAA